GGGTGGGGGTGGGGGGGGGGGCGTGACAGCTGCTGCATCGCGGGTAGTCATGTCATAGTGTGCCTGGACAATCGGTCCAGGAGGGAATTGCCGCGCGCAGGGAGGGCTGTCGCGGCCGTGTGTTGCACAAGCGCGGCGGCCGCGCCTGCACGCTGCGCGCGGTACCGTGGGGCGGCGCTGGAGGGGAGCGGGCGGCGCATCCACGCCGCTGCGTGTCCCCGCCAACACGCACAAGGTGAGCGGCGGGTTGCTGGCTGCAGCGGTCGCGGCGGGCCGGCTGCTGGTTACTGATCATTGTTTAGGATCCAAGTCAGTACAGGAAGTCGTCAATCAGGCTCTCCAGGCTCTCCTGGTTGCTGCCCTCGGGGCCCGACCCGGATCCCGGGTCCAGCCCTGCACCGCACGCGCGCCACGCCAGGCAAACCAAGTCGGCCCTCGGCGGCAGACGCAACGCAGCGGGCCCACACTGGCAGCTGCGGGCGGTGCAGGGCACGGCTGTGCCGCCGGCCCAGGCCCGCCCCGGCCGCACACCAGCAGCCGCCCGGCGCACCTGCGTGCTGTGCGGGGGCCTGGCCCGCCGCGCCCTGCCCCGGGCCGGCGCTCATGAGGCTGCCTCCACCCCCGCCACCCAGCTGCTTGCTGGCCAGCAGGTCTGACAGATCCGTGACCAGTAATGGAGACGGGTCGCCGCCGCCCAGCGCGGCCATAGAGGGCAGGGGAGCCAGCATGCCGCTGCCGGTGGCGTGCAGGGGCACGAAGCCGGTGCCTGCCGCTGTGCGCACCTGCGGCACGGGCAGCATGGCGTCATCGCCCGCCCTGGCCGCCGCCGCGGGGTCGAGCGCAAAGCTCTCTTGCGCCGCCAGCCCACCAAACCCACCGCTGCCGGGCTGGTGGTGGTGGAGGTGTGGCGGGGCGGGGCGCAGGGCTCCCGGCGTGCGGCGGTCCGCGGAGGCGCCGGAGCCCAGGCTGCCGCCGCTGGCTGTGATGGAGGCTGTGGGGGAGGCTGACATGGAGGCTGTGGTGGCCGCGTCCGAGGCGCCGCCGCCCTGCTGCTGCTGCTGCTGCTGGCCGGCGTCGGGCAGGGCCAGGCAGCGCGCGGCGGTGCCGCTGCTGTTGCCCAGCACCCGCAGGATGGGCTGCGGGACGGAGCGCGGCAGCGGCAGGCGCGCGCCCGCCGCCACCTCCATCGCCTCCGCCCACTGCCGCTGCTGCTGCTGCTGCCGCTGCTGCTGCTGCTGCTGCTGCTGCTGCTGCTGCTGCTGCTCGCGGCTGGAGCTAGCGCCGGCGTCGGCCAGCGGCGTGAGGCCGGGAGAGCACCAGCCGGGGTCCAGCACTTGCGCCTGAGCCTGCGGCGGCGACTGCGCAGGCCACTGCTGATGCGGCACCAGCTGCTGGTGCTGCTGCGGCGCCGGCGCCTGCTGCGGCACGCTAGCTGCCGCGCCCGGCCCCGCCGCCTGCACAGCCCAGGCCTGCGCCCTCGACGCATCGGCGCCCAGTGGGGTGGCGGCGCGGCTGGCCGGCGCCGGCGCAGGCGGGCAATAAGGGTTGTAGGCTGCGGCCGCCGCCACCAGGCTGGCATACTGGGGCGGGTGGCTGGCGGGGCCGCCGGCGCCGCCCGATGCCAGCTGCTGCAGCATGGCGGGCGCCGGGAACGGCGGCCGCAGCTGCTGCGCCTGCTCGGCGTACCGCTGCGCCTGCTGTGCCTGCTGCGCCTGCATCGCCTGCATCGCCTGCGCTGCCTGCCGCGCCTGCTCGCCGTACTGCTGCGCCAGTTCGCCATACCGCTGTGCCTGCCGAGCGCACTGCTGCCGCACCTGCTGCGCCTGCTCGCCCTGGGCATAATAGTGCGCGCCGATCATTGCCTGCTGCTCCTCCTGCGCCCGCCGCGCCTGGTGCGCGAGCATCATCGACTGCTGCATCTGCTGGAAGAAGGGCAGCCCCTGCTGCTGGCTGCCCGAAGACCTCAGGCTGCCCATCCGGTCCACGCCGCCGACGCCGACGCCAACGCCGCAGCTGCCGCCGCCGCCGCCGCCGCCGGGCTCCATGCTGCCCGCGGCGCGCAGCGGGGCTGCGGGGAAGCCGGCCGCGGCCAGCGGCGGCGGCGCCGCGTCCGCCATCGCGGCCAGCGGAGACGACTCGCCCTCATCTGAGCCGCCGCGACCGCCGGATTGCCT